ACTACTTATCTGCCGTGAAAATAACGGCGTTAAAAATTAAGAATCCAGGACGGCGACGGCGTCAAGCTCTACAAGCGCGTTCTAAGAGAATAAAAATGTGCATGAACAAAGCATACCTTAGGAAGAGTCTTAACTGCAAAGCACATTCTTGCAGGATAGGGTTCGGCGAAGTCTAAAAAATTGGACAACTTCACAACTTCAACCTACATTTGGCATAAATGTCGTTAACCTTGGGGAAGTCATCCATGGATGCCAGTAAAACAGTCGTTTTTACGACGTTCTTGCTACTACCACCAGCTTCCTTGATAATGTTCATGAGGTTTTTCAGGGCTTGCTCGGCTTGTTGCTCAACCGTATCCCCAGCAAGGTTCATCGTTTCAGGATTCAACCCGAGTTGACCCGATATGTACACCGTCTTGTCGACACGTATGGCCTGACTACACACATTAGAAAAAATTCAGCAAAACCTGTAAGGCCCTATAGCCTTAGGCGCAAGTTTCGAACAGATAACTTGGCGTACAGCATTCATGGCCAGCTACAGAGACAGTGAGACTGTGAGACGGGCGACGCATTTCAACCTTTTTGAGCGTGCTGCGAACCTTTAGTGTATATAAACAAAAGCTCAGATGAAGCAAATATAGTTTGTAATTCATAAAACTCCCTGCTTTATTGGTGTTATTCCATCTGAGTCTGCTGGACTTAAACCAGAAGTTGGCAGTTAAGTGCTCAAAATGAAGGAGATTGGTGGCGTGTAGTTTTAGTGCCAAAACTGTAAGGTTCAGTTACTAAATATAAATCACAAAACACCTGCGCGTGTTAAAAGTTTCGGAAGTGTTGGAACACTTGGAACTTTAAACTCTGTAACCTGTATAACTTCCCCTGACTGGTATTATGTCAGTCACAATAATTTTATTTGAGCACCTTTACTTTAATTGTGACTATTTCTCAGAGGTAACCTTGGAGCTCCCCGGAATGGGTTGACGTGTTTACTGACGTTTCGAAGAAATGGGCTGGCTGTCCTGTTTCGACGCGTAAACTGTCATCAGCGGTAAGCAATTTGAAGTTCTCCCTGTACGTGTTGGCCGTGAACTGATCGATTTTTCCTCGTTCGCTATTGTGCTTCGTCTCCATGGTAGAACATGCTGCTAATCCTGCGTCCTCTTCCGATGGTTTCATCGCGGGGTCATCTTCGCTTGCCATTCTTATTTTCGGTTTGACTTTACCCTGGCGACTTTCCTCTAACTCTGTAAACAATATAATGTTCCGTCTACTCTGCCTTCCCAAGACTTCTCCTATCTCCCGAGGAACCAGGGTCTGGAAGATAGTAGCTGTTAGGTTAACCGTCCTAATCTTAACCCTTATAAGGCTTTCCGCTTTCGAGGTCCTTCGGTCTTAGATGGTCGCTCCTTGAATACGAAGGTGTGACCAGTCTCTCCGATATGGGTTGAAAGCTGTGAGCTTGGGTATGAAGAAATAAACAACATCAAAGGATACCGTGGATTCGCGTGGACCTAATTTCAGTTATTTTCGTTTTTCAAGGAACTGTTTGGCATAAGCTGCGTTTGTTGGTGAGCCTACTGCCGGGAACTTAATATGACAAAACATCCATTTTGCCCAACCCTATATAGGGATGCCAAGAACAAAGACGATAGGCCTAAGACTTGGTTTTCTTTGTGCACTTTTGATCTGGAGCTGTGCCTGTTGCTGTGTATAAGTCAACATTGTCCCAGTAGAAGCGCAACTTATAACGCTCTTATTTATGCCGACGGAAGCATCTTTCGAGGCACGATCAATCACTTGTTTTTTTATTAGGGGACTTCAAAAAGTCAATGGCATAAAAGTATTAGGAAAACAGAGAGTGCGTACAGGCCACCCTTGAGAGACACTTGAATTGCCGATGAAGCCACATTTGTGTATTAGTTTAAAATCTAGATGCATTCATGAATAAATTTTACTCTCTCT